CCCGAACTGTTTGGGCTTCTCGTAGATGCAGCAGCCTGGAGAAAAAACGGGAGTCAGAAACAGACCCTCTACATCAGTGTTTTTCAACCTTTTTTGAGCCAAGGTACAGTTTTTTATTGAAAAAAAACTAGAGGCACACCACCACCCAAAAATGTTAAACACATCTGTAGTATATCTATAGTAACACTATAGTTATTCTTATCTTATCTTAAGCGTCTTGAATAGGAATCAAATAAACACAAAAATGTATTTTTATCATATTTTATATTTCTTCTTTCAAATTGCACTTAACATGTCCACTTCAATATGCAAAATTAAATACAAAATCTAGTCATAAGGAATTATTACATGATTACGCCATCAGTCACTAGAACAGCACAGACACTCAAAAATGGCAGATTATTTGCAGATAATTAATTCCTTATCAAAAAATCTTTTTAGACCAATTAGGTGAAATAGGATGATTTTCTATGGCACACCTGACCATCACTCAACATGACCTACAGAGGCCCATCTGGACCCAGGGTTGTCAAAAACTTGGATCAGTTTAAGTGAGCAAATTCATCTCTTCTGGGACTCAGGTGGAAAAATGTTGGCAGGAGGACCAAAACTATTTTTTTAAGGACCAATTCATTAAAGAATCATTGAGTTTTAACACATCTTATGGTTGTATCCGGATAAGATACTCAGTTTCAAAAGTATCGATACCACTCCCCCTTCTCTATTATTTATTTATTTACGTTGTTTATGATCATTAACATGACGCTAGCCTTGAATTGCTAGCTGCGGCTAATGGCTAATAATAACACGCCAACATTAATCAAGTTTGCAGGAAGCCAAGGATGGATATCCAACCCCCCCCACATCCAATTCGGCCATTTTGATTAGGTCACCAATAGGATGATCCCAGGCAAGAAAATCCTAATTGCTTCATGGCAATATACACATTAATTTAAAAATAGTATAATAATTATTGTTGCAAACACTGAATTAAACTCTATACATAATATTATGTTAAAAT